ACTGGGGAGCCCAGAACTGGACACAGTACTCCAGGTGAGGCCTCAGCAGGGCTGAGGAGAGGGACAGGATCACCTCCCTCCACCGGCTGGCAACACTCTGCCTCACACAGCCCAGGATCCCATTGGCCTTCTTGGCCACAAGGGCACACTGCTGGCTCATGTTTAACTTGTTGTCCACCAGCACTCCCAGGTCCTTCTCGGCAGAGCTACTTTCCAGCAGGTCAGTCCCCAGCCTGTACTGGTGCATGGGATTATTCCTGCCTAGGTGCAGGACCTTGCACCTGTATGGCCTGTAGCAAAGTGTATATGGCATACAGAGGTGGTGATCAGGGCTATTCTTTCAGAGCTGTAGTGCGTGCTTCCCCTCTACCTTTGATGCTCTAGGAAAGTTTAGAAAGTGGGTTTAATGCCACAGATATCCTTCAACCACTGGTTGCATCTTCTTGTGAAGGCAAATTGCCAGTCACACACCTTCCCAGTGTGACCTGCTGGAAGGCATAGAGTGCACTCTTAGCAAGTTTGCTGATGAAATAAAACTGGGAGGAGTGGCTCATACTCCAGAGGACTGTGCTGCCATTCAGAGGGACCTGGACAGGCTGGAGAGATGGGCAGAGAGGAACCTCATGGAAGTTCAACAAAGGCAAGTGCAAAGTCTTGCACCTAGGAAGGAATAACTCCGTGCAGCAGTACAAGCTGGGGGTTGACCTGCTGGAAAGCAGCTCTGCAGAGAAGGACCTGGGAGTCCTGGCGGACGACGAGTTAAGCATAAGGCAGCAATGTGCCCCTGTGGCCAAGAAGGCCAATGGTCTCCTGGGGTGCATTAGGCGGAGTGTTGCCAGCAGGTGGAGGGAGGTGATCCTGCCCCTCTCCTCAGCCCTGGTTGAGACCATACCTGAAGCACTGTGTCCAGTTCTGGGCTCCCCAATACAAGAGAGACATGGAGCTCCTGGAGCAAGTCCAGCAAAGGGCTACTAAGCTAATTAAGGGACTGGAGCATCTCACTGGAATTGTTTAGCCTGGAGAAGAGAAGACCAGGGAGGGAATGTTATTAGTAAGTATCTGAAGAGAGGGTGTCAAGAGGATGGGGCCAGCCTCTTCTCCATGGTGCCCGGTGATGGGATGAGAGGCAACGGGCAGAAACTGAACCACAGGAAGTTCCGTCTGAACATAAGGAAAAACTTTTTTTTGAGGGTGACAGAGCACTGGGACAGGTTGCCCAGAGAGGTTGTGGAGTCTCCATCCTTGGAGATGTTCAAAAGCTGTCTGGATAGGGTCCTGGGCTCCCTGCTTGAGGAGGGAGGTGGGACTAGATGATCTCCAGAGGTCCCTTCCAACCTAAACCATTCTGCGATTCCGTGATCCAGCAAGCAGCCCAGGGACCAGAGCCTGGTGCTGTGTGATTTCAACTAGTCCACTGCCTTTGTCTCCATATCCACTTGGTGGAGAAGGTGAGGCTGGTGGCATGGCCTCTTCTAGGCCTGTACAGGATAAAACACTTTGAGGCAGGAGGGACTCAGTAAGACTGCAATTTCCCATTGCTGTAAAAATTGTCTAATGGAAAAAATTGTCTGAGGAAAAGCTCTGCCCTTTTAAGCTGTTCATCCCACAAATCTTTGTACATGATTTCCAAGCTTGTTTTGCTTTGCGACCTCCAGACATGTCTGAACAACCTAATTGGTTTAACACATTAGAGCAATGTATGTGCTTGCAAATATATATGCACAGTGTCTCCATGTCTGATAAAGCCATTTGCTGTTGTTTCTGATGGTTTTTACAGAAGGCAACCCTGTGGGTAGTCACAGCCACCAGAAATGACCTCTTGGGGTGGCTTCTCAGCACCTTCCCATGCAGCACAAGCACAGCCAGCTTAAAGCTCCTCAGCCTTGCATGTTGCTTTGACTGACAGTTTCTCAGGCTTGTGCACCTTCTAGCTCCTAGGGGTGAGCAAGTCAGCAGAGAAATGACTGGTCTTTTCAGGAGATGGCTGACATCAATATATGGCACCAGAGTGGCTGGCTCTGCCACACACATTTCCTCTCTCCGTTCATAGCTGGATTGAGACAGCTTGTGCTGTAGAGCCCTGTTACTCTGCCAGGCACACGGACTCTCTGGGTAACTTGTTGTGGTGCACCACCATGAAGCATGGCTTTGAACCATGACCTCGAGCTGGCACCTGTCATGCACATTGTTTTAGCAGCTCAATATTGGCATTCCTCCCTCAGCACTTCTGTATCACTGCTCAGCCTCAGTTCACCACACCCTGGGGGCTGGCATTATGCTGTCATCTGCTTCAGTGCTTGCATGTGTGTGGTGTGGCTGGCTGGCTGGGAGCTATGCCTGGCATTTGCCACCTCTGAAATCAAGCCATGAGCAAAGCTTTAGTTCCATCACCTCTCTCCAAAATCTGGCATATTCTTTTCAATATGTCTCTTGGCATCTGAGCTCAGGAGAAGGACTAGACCTTGCATCCAGTGAAATTCCTCCTATGTCTACTGGTCTCCCAGTACCAGGCTTCTTGCTTTCAGGTAGAGAGGCCCTGAATTAGGGCTTTTGTGACCAGCAAAAGGACTGCATGGCACTTTCTATGGGTTTGTAGTCAGCTGGCTTATCACATGATGCTTGTTCCTCACATCATTTTCTCTAATTTCTGATTTACTCTGGTTTTAGTGAGTTGTTCCCTGATGTTGCTTGTTTCTTTTTAAGAGATTCCTGCTAGGGGAAGGGAAGGGGCAGTGAGATCTCCGGCCGACAGTCTCCTGTGTTAAAGGCTGACCAGTCAGCAGTAGCTGTATGCTAATAATAGCTCTAATTACAGATTTGTCACGACACTGCAAAAATGAGCAAAACGTGTTATTAACCCTGTTTAAATAATGGAGAAAGAATGAAGAACTAAAACCTGCCAGAGATGGGCAGAGTCTGCAACAAAAATGTGCGTGGGTGGCTCTAGTATTATAAGGTGTGTTTTGGAAAGCCTGGGTTGTCTTTGCTGCTGATCTGCAAGGCAACTTTGGGAAAGTCATTTTTCTATGTCTCAGTTTCCCTCAGTAAAACAACTTGGTGATCTGCTACCGATTTCCTCTGAAAATGGCACTGAGACGGGATCTGTAGGCGTGAGGGGTTGTTAAGGGTGCTAGCTGACACCTACTGGTAAGCTGAACACATGTTCGGTAAGGAAACTCCAAAACTTACATTGTATTTGTGTGGGGTCTGGAGATTTATATGCTCACTTTAAACGTGCCAGGTTAGACCTGCCCCTCACTGGGACAACTGCATCATGTTCTTGGAGAAATGCAAGGAGGAGACACTGCAGGGAGCTTTCCGTGCTCATGGCCACTGCAGGTTGCAGTTACCTCTTGTCCACAGCTGGGGCTTGGTTTCAGACATCTTTGCAGTGCCCCTCCCTGCTGGTTTTCTTGTCCCACCCTAGGCAAGTCAGTGCATCTCTCCATGCTTCACCTGAGCTTGACACTGTGGCTGTGACACTGCCCTCCTCCCCCTGGCTGAACTCTTTAAGGCCGTCCCTCATTCAGAGCACACACAGCGCCCAGCACAGTGAGGCTGCCAACCTTGGATGCTGCTGCTGCTGGCATGAACCACCATGGTGGACACCTCTTCAGACTGCCTTTTACTTAAATTTGCAAAATCACCTCCTGAGGATTTTAACCAGCTCAATGCACAGCCATCTTCTGTAAGGCTGAGGCTCCCCAGCCACACACTGCAGTTTGGATGGCTACCTTGTACAAATTGCAGCAAAACACAGCCATATACATACTACAGAGGAAAAATACTTTATTTTTCCCATGAGATGTATACCGTCCAAGTAATACCACCTTCTCATGGGAGGCCCAACAACACACGTCTGGACATAGAAGCCACAAGGGCTTACCAATCAGTGAATTTATGTATATATTTCTCAACCAGCCTAGATATACAATTGACAAAGACATACAATGACTGCTGGGGACATGTAGTTGGCTTGCCGTGCTCTGGGACACATCATATACATGGCAGCATATTTGGCACGGAACAGACAAGACATAGTTGCACGGAGATGTACAAGTAAAGAGAAGACAATAATGCAGGCACAAGTATATACCAGTGACAGAACCTGTCTTACACTGAGAGTCATGCTGGCACAACCAAAATCAGAGCACTGGAAGAAGAGAGTGGTCTTTCTGCAAGAAAGGAGGCAGGAAGGTGAAAAGGAGCCCCCCAGCCAGACTCTAGATCAGACCGAGGAGACTTCTGCAGCCTGTGGTTCTCGGGTGATCCCAGGTGGAGCGGGTACAAAGCTTCTCAACAGAGCAGGTCAGACTGGCTTTTGCCCGTCATCCCAATGGAGAGGAGGCTGCCAGGCTGCTCTTCTCAGTGGGAAGAGGGGAACCCTGGTGAGCTGGGCTTGCTGCTCCTGCCATTACCACTGCTCAGAGGAGTGAGGGGCAGCTGCCTCCCCCAGCTACGATCGCCCTGCAGGGACTGCACACTTCCCCTCAGCAGGTGAAAGCTGGCTCCCCCAGGTCCAGGCATAAACAGAGGTGACAGCATGACCACAGCCATTTTGTTCCCCCAGCAGCTTGCTGCTCCAGATAGCTGCCCACATTACCTCTGACCTGTTGCCTGAGGCTGCTGGATCTGGGCACCAGCTGGTATGCCATTGCCCTCTCACCTAACCTGCCTGCCTTGAGGCTTATAGGGGCCCCCTCTGCCCCTATCTCTGCCCCCCTCTGCAGGGGGGTGGAGGGTGCAAGTCCCTCTCCTTAGCCACCTGGTGTGTAGTGACAGCAGGGCAGTGGTAAGTAGAGCTGCGAGAGCCCACAGTTTCTGGATCCACAGCCTCTGGCTGAAATCTGAGCTCCCTGGCGCCTGGGTGATCCCGAAGGACCAGGTCTCACAGCTCCTGCTAGGTTCTCACAGCTGAATGATCATCTCCTTTGGTTTGTCAGTGATATTGTGTAGCTGTGACAGCCCTAGAGCCTGGGCCAGCCTGCTCTATCCAGGGCCACGACTGCTCCTGAGGTTCCTCAGACATTCCAGTCGATGCTTTCCCCCAGAACACAGTGACACATCCATCTTTAAAAATATGACAATATGAAGTGCCACTGCACAACCCCACACTGAGCCTATCACTGAACTGCATACTGCAGCATTAATACATGTTGTTAGCAGTGATCTGGTACAACTCACATTTCCACTGGCTTTAAGCCTACAGAGCCTATTTGAGATTAAGCATTGTGGAATAGCAATGGGTAGGCTATTTCAAATACTTTTTGTGTGGTCCTGTCCTGAAATTTGTCTTGAGCAACATGTTTCACCCCAGAGGTTGTTGTCGTTCAGTGGTGAATGAAAGTAAGCCCTATAAAGTAAAATTTGTGATAGCCCTGGGATGAAATTTATTATAAAAATGGAAATTAGTCTAACAAACATGTAAAGTCTTGCCCCCACTTATTTCACCGAATGATCTTGTGCCAGCATTCCTCATCAAAGAACCGTTGGTGTGCTTGTTATGAGTGCAATAACCCAAGTCACACAAAACAGAACTGTTGAGCTGGAGAGTAGGACAAAAAGTCAGCTTCTCCAGAGGTGTAAATCAGAATACACCCATTAAGTGCAGTGCTGATTTACACTAGCTGCAATAGACTGCATCATTTACAGGGGAGGGGAAAAGTCTCAGTAAAATGATTAACGCCTAGGGAAAAAGAAAAGCATTTTACACGTATTGGAGAAACTGACGTTCATTTCATTTTCGCAATATTCCTAAACTAAAATGGTGTTGGCATCCACAACTGCAAACAAAAATACTTCTTTGGTAAAAATGAGAAACGTCATAACTTTGTAGACGTGATGCCAGTTTTGTGGAATATCTTGAAGTGCAGTTTAAGGAGCATGAAACTGGACAACAAAAAAATTGAGAAAATTTTAGCGTCAACAGCTGCATTAGAAAATATGTTACCAGAAGGTCATTCTCTAACATTCAGAACTTAGGACTCAGCCAGTAACAACCTCTTCCCTATTTATGATATTTCAGAGCTCCTCCCAAGTACAGTATGAGTCAACTATCATTTCAGTTATCCGTATAGGTGTTTGTATCCTCTTATCTCAAGTTCTGACTCTAAGGTAGGGAGAGGGTTACAAAAGCATTCTGGAAATAAACTATGATAGAAAAAAGACTGTTAATAGTCAAGTAGACACAAGTAACTAATTTCTCCCTTCCATCTCACGCTGATGATTACATTTTGTTTTGTTTACATAATTCCTGCATCTTTATCCTACAAAAAAATGTGAGAGTGAGTATGTAGGTGGGAACAAGTTGCAGTGTGCCACAATGGACCCAAGTGTTCCCAGGGCTCTGGGGTCTTCAGATCTTGAGAGAGTATAAGTAAAAGGCCTTTAGACTGGCCTGTTCAGAGATAGAAGCCAAATAGAACAACTGTTTCTAAATGTTCCCTCATCTAGAGATACTGGGGCCAGAAGTTCTAGGTTTGTGGTGTCATCACTTATTTCAGACAAAGCATCCCTAATTTTTCACATCACCACTCCCTGGCAACAGTGGCATCTGTGCTCAGCTATCCTGACTATTCTAACAGCGGGGAAACAACAGACATTGACTTAGTACCTTGGGAGCCAGAGTGAGAGCGCTGGGCTGTTCGCTAGAAGTGCACATCAGACTGAGGCCAGGTGTTCCTGGGCACCTGAGACCCTGGTAAATTTGACCTGGGCAAGTTGGTGTAGGTCCCATTTTGGGCAGAACTGCCACTCATGCTGTTTCTTCGTAAACGCTCCATTTCCCAGACTTCTGGTTCTTTCCCCAGCTGATCTGGGCTCTGGTGGACCAGTTCTTCCTGACCGGGTTCTTCCTCCTGTTAACCAGGAGAAAAACTGATTTGTGTTGTTAGCAAGCTACCAAGAAGTCTAGCAGTGTTCCAAACAGTGAGATAAGGCTGTGCACAATCCTTAAATATCTCTCCACATTCTTCCAGAAATTAGTACAAGCCTGTCTATTAAAGATCAACTATACCGTTTGCTACAATACTTTGCTGAATGTACATTCAAGCATTAGACAGACAGGAAAAGAGTCATCCCTTTTCGCGCTCCACAAGAACATTAACAGAAATGCTGTAGCAAAGCAAATCTGTAAGCAAATACTCAAAGAAGCTTGCAGGCATGTTCCCATCAGACGTGGCACCTCCCAAACACCCTCTTTCGGATGGAAAGTGGTCACAAGAGTGCTCTGCCAAAAAGATAAGCTTCCTTCTGGCTCAGTGTGTGCTGTTGGGCTATTCTTGTTATGTGAGCCATGAAAACACAAGGGAATGATATGGCTCCCACATGACTTATTGCCTTTGGCTTTAAAGCTGAAGGCCCAAATGTGCTGGCTGATGGGATACAGGCAGCCTGTCACAACTATGCAGTGAGAGGTTGTGGGCATACACTGACAGTCTTCCACTCTGTGTTGGATAAATAATCCATAGAGAAGATGCTAAGATTACAGTCCGCAGAATTATCATTAGCTGCCCTTGCTGGGAAAGACAGTATAATCTTTTCTGGTGTCTGAGGATAAGTAGGTGCAATACAAGTGAAGATAATTGAACTGCATCCACTTGCCACAGGAATGAGCTTGGTGTCAAAGGAGATGGAAGGTGTATTTAAGGTTAACTGAGGGGTGTGAAGCAAGAGATTTGGTGTTACTGTCCTTAAACAGAAGAAGTTTGATCATGTAAAATGCTAATCATGCCCAGCTCTTTCTGTTTTATGTGAATGGGGATTTGAAAAGCATAACTGATACGAGGTCCATTCACAGAGCAGGGTTGGTCACCTACCCTGGAGCTGGTCCAGAAGCCTGGTGGAGGGCTACTAACCTTACTAATGTTATCCAGCGGCTTGCCTATCAAGTCCTTCCACTTCAGCTTGTTTCTCTCCAGCACCTCTAGCTTGCTTACCACCGCATCAATCTTGGAGCCAATGCTGTTGATGGACTGTTCCAGCTGCAGCACACGTTGCAGGAGGCTAGGGAAGACAGTGGAAACATTTGCAAACTTTCTCTTGTGATGGACACCAGGATTTGCAGCAGATATCTCATGGACAACAGGTCAGATGTCACACAGGAATGTTCCACATCAGACAAACTGATTCATATCCACTGAACATGTAACTCCCTGCTACACTGGCCTTTCAGCTGTAATCTGTGATTTTGCTGAGGGTAGATCCCAAACAGTTTGGGTCACAGTCCAGCTACAATCTAATCCCATTATATCTAATATTGCACCCACCTCTCCTTTGATAGGGCCCTATGTGGGTTGCCTAGTGTTTCTCTCTAGCACAATCAGGAGATCCTGATTCTCTGTGCTGTATTTATCCATGTTCCTTCTGCAGAAGAAATAGCCTTGTACTATTCCCAGAACTGGAAGATGAAGGCCAGCTAGGTTGTAAACCAAGTATATTTATTCCCACAGGAGCTTCTGTAAAGATATCAACTTCTCCTAGCTCTAGGTGACTCTGCTTGAGCAGGGGAGTTGGACTAGATGATCTCCAGAGGTCCCTTCCAACCTCAACAGTTTGATCAATCTGTGAAGTATTGTCCAGGCCACCTTCTGTTATGAAGCATGACAACATGGCCAGTTGACAGCTCCAGAGATTGTTCAAGAGGCAGAGAACAAAATTACTCAGCTCAATCTTTTACAGAAACAAGCAAAATACAGTGCAAGAACCATCCCAATTCTTCTCTGACCTGCTCATTTACATGCAAACAATGTAGAAAGGGGCAAGTTCCCACTGCAGCTGCTCAGGGAGGGGAGCAACAGAGAATCAGACCCTTCATTTGCAGAGACTAAACTACTGCCAGCATCAACATACACTTGCAGCTCTTCTTTGGAGACCCAGTTGGCCTTGTTGACATGGTTAGTCTTTGCTTCCATGTAAGCCAGATTCTCATCCAAGTTGTTGCCACTATAGGATTTCCCCAAGTTTTCAATCTCCGTATTCAAAGCAACCTAGAAGGTAGACACAGAAACTCCTGCAAAGCTGAATAGTAACGCTGTGTCATCTTCACTAGGAATAACATTCAGCTTCACAAACTGTCACACGCTCAACTACTCAACTACCCTCTAAGAAGGGATGGAGCAGCGTTGCCTGATTAGTTTTTACCCCCAACTCAAAGACTCTAAAGGCCACTGTAGAGTGACCTGTACAAAATAGAGAGTTTCTTCCCTTGCCCTTCCTTTACCCTTTTCTCCTCTAAGTCATGCTTCATCTGCAGCTGCTCCTCTTCATCAAGGATCTGGTTGCCATCTTTGTCAAACCTGGAAAAGGCTGCTGTGATCTCATGTTCTGCATGACCTAGTCTACAAAAGAAGAGAAAGAGAAAGCCCAGTGCATCAAATTACATAGGCAGGCTTTAACAGTGTATGAGCTCCGCTTTTGAAAGCGGTGCACTGTTGACATCTGCCAGTGACAAACATAACCATCCCAAATGGGAAGAAGACAGCAACACAACTCTATTTAGAACAGGAGATTAAACTTATCAGGAAAGGAGGCCTTTAGAAGGTGATAATAACCATTTTTAAGCCTCGTGTTATACAGATATGAGCTAACTACTGTTCAGGCCTTGAAGGCCACAGAGTTTAAATTACCTGTATGACCGAGAGGAAAGGGTAAGTGAGCATCCCTCAAGCTGACTCACTTACTTCTTCAAGCTGTTCTTGAAGTCCTCAAAGTCCAGTTCTTTTGCTCCATTCTGTAGTGCTTTCTGTACATCAGAAATCCTCTCCTTCTTCAGCTTCAGCCTCATCAGTGTCCGGTTGTAGCTCTTAAAGGTGCAAATGGACATTGAATCATGGAGGCATAACAATGAGAAATAAGGCAGAGCTAGCAGTGAAATACAGGCGAGCAGATGTTGAGTAACGTAGGGAGATTTTAAACTTTCCAGAAGCAAAATGCAACACTGCTGCCTGGGCCCCATCTCTAAACTAGAACCACCTCTTCAAAGTGATACCAGCATGATACCTAGTATCTCCATAAGAAAAGTTACCCTCTGCTTTTCTTCTCCTTGTTCTTCCTTTATCTGAGCTGCCAGAGCTGCCAGCAAGTGGTTGTCCAAGTTAATGTCTCAAATATCATTCAGCTCCAGGATATTGATCTACAGCATAGATAGTTGCGAACCTTTCCTGGAGCTTTGCCAAAGAGAAATCTGGGTGTCACCCACCAAATTTTCACCACTGCAAAATGCTCAACTCAGCAAAGTAGAGGCTGCTGCTTCATTTGCTATTTATCAGCATGCACTGTGTCAAGGACACTGAAGAAGCTTTGTCTAGTAGTGATTGTTGTGGGAGGGAAGGTATCTGGGAAACCCTCCTGGCTGTTCATGCTCATGCTAAGTGAGAAGTTTCCCCCTGCTTTTTGATCTCCTCATTGCCAAATGGTCTGGGAGCTTGATCTACCCCAGAAGGGAACCACTGGGACCCCGACACTACTCCATGAAGAGAAATCTGGAGCTGGCAACCAGCTTTTTCTCTAGTAAGCTTAACATGGGTCAGGGATTCCAAGAAAAGATTTCAGGATTTAGCTAGAGAGCAGCACAACTTTCCATCTTCATCACCTGCTTCAAGATGTCTGAGAGCTGCAGCTCATCCTTCTGGCTTGAAAGCTCCTCTTTGACTTCTGAGTAGGTGTCATTGATGATGGCCAGAAACATATTCTAGAGAAAAGGGGGAAAAAAAGAGAGAGAGAGTAAGCTGAAACACTTTGTCGGTCCCAGCAGCTGAGGCAACAAGAGATAGGCATAGCTATGCGGGGCTCAGTTAAAGAGGAGCTGTTCTCACATGGGGTACCCACTGGGCAAATGAAAGACTGTTCCTAGTCCAGATACCATCTCTGCTAGCCTACCCTGCATGACATTAAGTTATATTTGGATGCCTGGAGGTAGGTATGTAACTTAGGCATTGTGAACGACTCCTTCCATTAATTGCCTAGGAAGCCAGGAACTACCCCCTATGCTTTCCTCCCTGAGAAAGAGAGGGAGCAGCTGGTCTGAGCATCCTTAATTCAGCTACTACACTAGTGTTTTCTCCAGTCAGTTTTAGGGTCCACCATGAATAATATGAATATGACCCTTAGTCTCTCTGAGCATCAAATTCCCAATTGCAGCTATGTGCTCTTTTTCTACTTTGGTCTATTAGTGCTGTGCAACTATTGTAACAGGGGCTTCCACTACTCTCTAAGCATCTGTATTGCACCTAACCTAGTGGAGGGATTGCCATGAGAGGTCTCTCAAGCACTGTGGTCAACATAGAGGCAAGGAGGCCTTTCTTGCTTACCAGAAGCACAAAGAAAACAAAGAACACATAAGTGACGAAATAAATAGGCCCAAGGACCCTGTTGGCGTTGTCAATGGAATTGTAGTCAAAATCACCGAGAATGATCCGAAACTGGGTGAAGCTGGAGGAAAGGAAGAGCAAAAGATCACACAAAAGCATAGACATCTATCTTACCTCCTAAGCAAGTCCAGAGGTGAGCCCTGAACCTGCCTGCAGCCTGGATGGCCACAGATATAAGCCAGAGCTAGGTCTAAGTCACTCAGTCCGACTTGTGAGGTAAACGTATCTGTAGTAGTTCAGGGATGAATAGAGCTGATCTGATGAGAGCAAGAGCTGGCTAGAAAATAAAATGTGGTTTCCACACAAGTTTTTGGCTGTCTAAAGTGTGTTTTGGTCCAAACAGAAGTTAAAGAATCAATTCTGAGTTTTCTCTTATAATGGCGTTTGACTCAGAACCATAGAAACCTTCCACAGCAACAGAGACCATGAGAGTGTGGAGAGAATGTTACTTCAGGCCAGTGCTCTTCAACATTTTGCAATTCATAACCCCTAAAATTAAGCAAGTGTACTGAAGACAAGTTTCCTTTTTTCAGTCACTTTCCATAGACCCCCTTAAAAGCAGGCCCGGATGCCAGAGGACTGTGGAGCATAGGCTGAAAACTATTGCTGTAGCATGCCTCCCTTAATATCACATGCTACCTAAGTGGGTGCATGGACCGAAGGATTTTTCTAAGATGGCCTTGGGTCATTCTTGCAACATTTTTTTCTTTTTTTATCGTGGGAAGTCACAATGTGAGGTCTCTAAAAAATTACCCTGAAAGACCAAGTTTAACTGTCCTTATTTATTATGCAAGTGGAATTTGCAACCAGTCATAGAAAAAGCAGTTCTCCCAAGGGAGCTATTTCCTGACTGACCAACTTCAGTGGCAAATTTGGTATAAGTCCCTTCCCTGCCACCCCCTTCTGCAGGTACTCATCCACTTATTCTCTCGTCCCACTGTTCATCCCCCCATCTCAGGTATCCGGATACATTATTTGTGGGGCTGCTTTGGAAATGGATCAGTGAAATGACTCAGGAAAAAAAATCCTCAGTAAAACAAAACAAGAACAAAAAACTTAAAGTGGAGCCCTATGTAGGGAAAGACCTTGTCCTGTCTGAAAAACGCAAAGATTCATTTAGGATTCCTTGTGTTTGCAATATTTAGGGAGCTGGGAATGTTTTCCAAGTCTAAGAAAAAGGAATATGTTTTTGCTTTCTCTTCTTAGGTTTAAATTGTCTCACTTCAGTGATGTTTAAATGTCTAGCTCCCATAAGTCAGTAAGGAATTTCTCCCCCAACTTTGAAAATTTCCACTTAATCTTAGACCTTTATACCACAGACTTTAGAAAGCATGCAGAATGTATGTTAAAAGTTAACATATAATATGACTACAACTTTTAGAATGAACTGTGATGTTGAAGCAGAACCGGTATCTTATCAAAATCGTAGGTTAAAGCATTAACATAAGTCAGAGCCTAACTTTCTCATTTCAGTGTATAAAGCTATCAGGCTGATAAGATAAATGCACTACTTTAGCTCTTTTCTGCCAAAATCCAGGAGCAACAATCAATATTCCTTTCCAAATGCTTCTGTTTTGATTAAAATGCTTTATCTGAAGGAAAGCTAGTCCACTGAAAAATTATCATGCAGTTCTTGCCCAGAAACTGAAATGATGTGAGCCACAGGTGTATCTGGAAGCCAAAGAATTTTAAAACTCTGGAGCTTACATCTGGGGCTCTTTCCTTTTTTAAAATCACCTTGAGCATTATCTTTCAAGTTACTTGGTTCTTGACATGAGAATCACAGAGAAGTGCAACCTAACTAGGCCTACAGCTGTCTGCCAGTGTATAGAACAACAAAGTGCCCAGGTCCCAGTGATGGTCAAGCAGCCTCATTCTACCACCTTTATGGACCCACAGTGGGTGAGAAGGTGAGAGAATGACTTGGAGAAGAGAAGTTAAACTATCAACTGAGCTGTGATGCTCTTCTGCAAAATGACTCTGAACTGCTCTGCATGCTGAGTGCCCTCAGTGAGCCTAGCAACTCTACTCAAGTGAAAGCTACCTGGAGTTCAGCAAAATGAAATGGCTTGCTGAATGTTTGCTCTGAAAAAGCTGGGTTTTCCATTGAATCATGGGGCTGCAAGAAGCCTCAAAGTCTGGGTAGGATTAGCTATTGACGTCCCTGATGATAAACGCTAGATTACCAAAATTCTGTCTTATCCCTTGAGTTTTTCCCTCACCGCATTCTTTTATCATTGAGGATGTTACAGCAGTGGGACTACCAGCAACATATTAGCCATTGTAGCTTTATTACATGTGATACAACAAATCCCTAATTGACATTCAGATTTGCAATTGAGGAGAGGTTGGAAAGCAGTTAAAAATTTGTTACTGACAGCTGAAAACAATGTAATTATGACTTATATACTTACATGCATTTAACAAAGGTACTGAAGTTTTCCACTTGAGTCCCAAAAAGAAGGTAACCCAGTTGGGCATAGGCAAAGAAGACAATGAAGAACATAATAGCAAAGCCCAGGATGTCCTTAGCACAGCGTGCCAGTGTGGAGGACAATTGGGTCATTGTTTTGTTAAAACTAATATACTTGAATATCTACAAGAAGAAAGAACAGGGACAAAGTTAGGCAAAGCCAGCAGCTATGTACATACTTGCTAAGGCAAGGGGTTCGTTATAATACCAAGGCACTGAGGAGACAACTGGGCTGGGGGAACGGTGGCCTAGAGTTCAAGATGTTTGTCCCAGGTGTGTCACCACCTTTGGGACCATAAGCAAGTTTATTTGTTCCCTGTGTCTCAAGAAAACATAAAGAGGGACTGCTGTAAGGACACATGAGTTGAGGATACTGAGAAGCCTTGGGTATGGAATGGTTTTCCACCGCGTCATGAGGTTTTGGTGGAAACACAGAGCCCAACAGACAACCCATTTCCAGCTGTTGGGTAGTCATCAAGAAAGAAAAATGTGATTTGCCTGATTGTCCATCCTGTACTCTTTTACTGATTTGGAGGGCAAAGTTATATTGTGCTCAGTGTTTCTAAACAACCCTTTTCTGAGCTCATCTTCTTGTCTCATATCTCCGAAGAACTGGCCTCAGCATGCAAGATGAAAATTTGTCTAGCTTTCTTGTAAACAGAGTGTACTACTGAGGAATCCTTCTCTGTTCTATAGCTTTTACTCCCATTCACTCAGGGGGTTGGCAGAGACAAACCCCAAACTGTCTGGAGGAAGAGGTCTGAGACTGTACCCCTTGCACCTCTCAGACTCCCAATACCTTGATCCAGGCAAAGAATAAGTTGACTGCATTCATATTGTTGTACTGGGTCTGCCAGAATGCCAGGAACTCGAAGTCTGCATAGGTGTCAGGGTGTTTCAGCAGCTCTCCCATCAGTCTGTTCACCTCGATGGTGCGAAAGATATGAAACCCAATAGCAACGATGGAGAGCTGCAAAGAGGAAGTGTCTGCAGTGACTGTTGTGCCTATGGATTCCACATGAATTCAGGTGTCATGGAGCTCCTTGGTATCGCTGCACAACTGCAGCCAACTATGGGGATGGAAATAAGGTCTTAACGCACTGGATGATGCCCTGACCAACCTCACAGCCCCTCAAGCATCCTTAAAGAAAGAATTTTCTTCTAATAAGCCATGGAAGAGTATGTTCTGCTGGTTCATTTTGCTTTTGGAGCAAAACGCAGGCCCGCTCTTGTCTTATCTGGCCAACCTCCCTGTTCCTCTGTTTTGTTTTGGTCTTTAAAAAAAATCCTCACCAGAATGACGACTACATCCAGGATGTTCCAGATGCTGGTGAAATACCGAAGCTTGTGGATCTGCAGTTCCAGGATCTCCTCTACCACATAGTAGAAGATGAAGACACAGAAGACAATTTCACAGGCAACAATGAAGAAGTCCCATGTGCTGACATATCGTATAAGCTTGACTGTCCGGATTTGCCAGGAGGGAATGGCACCACCAGTGGCTGGAAACTCGACCACTAGCCTTGAGGGAGACAAAAAAAAATCCCAACACTATAATTACATATGGAGTGATGGAGGCTCTTAGACAATTTTGAGAGGCATCAAACTTGACCATGAGCTATCCACTAAACCATAAGTGGAAGAGACGCGTATGTGTTTATGCAATCTTATCTCTGATGTTTCATTGCCCATAACAGGACAGGAAGAAAGGTCAAGAGAAAGAGTGACTATTGTGTCAGGAAGACCAAGTCTTCTTACTAATATGTACAAAAGCTACTGATGCCTCTCAGGCCTACCTGTGATGGACCAGGTCACAATAGTTGCGTTATAAGAAAATGTGGCGCTGAGGAAGAGGAGAGGAGCAAAAGGGTTTCCAGTGAGACTCAGCCTACCTCAGAACACAGAATAGGTTGATATTTGCATTATACACTGAGAAATCGATGAAGACAACTCGTGTCCCCCGATCCAGCCACAGCTTCTCTTTCAAGACCTTCAGGGCTTCAGCACTCTCTTCTCTTGTCATTTTGAGGTCTATGTAGTATCCTCCCCCACTATAGCTGGTTAGTCTTCCCCAGTGAGATGAGCCACCCAGCTCCTCCTCAGAATGATACCTCCACCTACAGGAGACAAGCCATAGGCAAAGGCATCACAGTCCACAGGTTTCGATATGATCTAGCAGCCAAGAGAAAAATGCAACTATATCCTCAAGGGACACAGGGGTTTAATTCAAGAGTTGGTACCTAACTCTCTATTCTGGATCTGAACGTACATCAGTTCATTGTTGATAGACTTATGATCTATTGCTTCCCGGCAGTGACACAACATGGCTTGTGGTGTAATAGAGGGATTATCCTGCAGATTCATAGGCTATGCTACTGTCTTGTTTTGCTGGAGGTTAATGCCAGGATCTGCTGTATTGCTTTCTACATGCTTGCATTTATTTTTTCTTACAAGCAGCAGCTTTTCTTTCACAGACTAAGATTCATGCAGCCATCAAGGAGTTAATAAGCTGCAGCTGTGTCCAATTATTGTAGAGAAAATCCACATCAATCATGAATCATCACTAAAAAAGATCCAAGTGTGAGACAAAAAACCTAGCATTGATTTTACAGGTTGCATTCCATTTCAATGAAGAAATTAGGAGAGCTAGGTTTTAAGAAAATGATTCAGACATCTCTGGTCTGTAAAAACAGGGTGGGAATAGGTTTCCAAGATGCAAGGGATGCACTTCCTTCTCTCTGGTTCCTGAATTCCAGGAGGAAAGCAAATAGTATCATCCATTTGTGAGATCTGATCACAACGGTTTCTATCCATCCTCATTCTCTTAAAAACAAAACAAAAACAAAAACAAACAACATGCCCCATCCCCCACCCCACACACCAGACGATCTCTACCTAAGTCTCCTCCTGATTTCTTGGTGCTTCCTCTGCACGTCTCACTCTGCCCCTCATTCTCTTCTACTTTTCTTCAGAGACACACTTGGTCTTTACTGATAGACATAAAGGACTCATTGTCTCTGGCCGCAAAGGGAATTCCAGCCTTATGGAAGAAACTCATTTCCCAAATCCTGCAGCTCAGTAGATCTCATTTTCTAACCCTGAACAGCAGAAGCAGATGTACTTACGCTGTTCCATTGATGAGACCAAAGGAGACTCTTTCCTCCTTTTCTTCTGAGTACACATCATAGCAGCCTGAGATTTCCTCTTTGAAGTCATTGTGGACCACACAGGAATTGTTCTTCACCTTCAGCTGTCGCATGCGTGGGACACCCAGCAGCAGATTCTCATAATAGATGTATGAGTGGGTGCCGTGCGCTGCTAGGGACTCGTTGTTGTACCACTTGGTCCAGTAAAGATTATTCAGAAGGGGGCCTTGTGTGTACTGCAGGAAAGGGAGAAAAGAGTGTCTCGTTCATAGCCCACAGCTCAGAAAACTTTTCTTGGCCTGGGCTTGAGATAATGAGACCTGACCTGTCTCTCTCTGCTCCCCAAACCGGGGAGTGGTAGAGCTCATGTTGGCTATGTGCTAAGGAGGGGAAAGACCAAGGCTGGGTGGAGCCACAGGGTGGAAAAGAGATGCTGGGCAGGAGTGTGGTTACTAGCTCCTCACAGGCCCTTGTACCATGCGCTAATGAAGAGAGGAGGAGCCTACAAGCTTCTTTGTCCCTTCATCTTCACAAGTGGAACACAAGTTTGGAGGAGTTGTCCTGGCATGAGCTGGGAATTAGAGGATGGAAGAGAGATGTACCAGTGCCCTGGAAATAGCGGGGGAAAGCAACAATGCCATAGTTCATTGTTCTTTTCTCATATTTCAGAAAAAGACAAAGAAAGAAAATTGACAAGCAATTTCTGGCTTACTGGCTGATACAAGTGGCTGTAATATCTCAACAACCTTCACTGTGGCCCATCTTATTCCAGTTTTTAGATGGAAATGTGACTGACCCAAGATATCTTTTCCCCTCTTTATTCTCTTCTGATAAAAGTTAGTGCAAATTTTCATCAAGATTCTTCATAAAGAATCTATAGATCAGGCTGGCCCAGGCCTGAATTACAGACAGGTTAAGTATACAGTTCCCACAGATGCCCATGAAAATTGAGATATGCTCATCACTAAGACACCAGATCATATGGTTCAAAGCCATTTCTGTCACAAGGACACCTGGAGTAATTCACTCGACCTCTCTGGACCTGAGCTCCCTGTCTGTGCAATGACCATCATATCACAGCAATTTATTTTTCCTATTACATCCTGTCTGGGGAACAGACTCTTCCAGGCACTCACAACACTTAGCCTAGCCAGTATTCTGGCCACAGTGCTCAAAGGGACATAATATATTTCACATCATCAATGGCTATTTTGCATGCAAATGATACTGTAACTTCTTCCAATAGCTGACAAGAGTTTGTAGCAGAAGAATCCCTTGCTGAAAGCACTAGGTACCGTTTTCACAGGGAACAGAATATCCCAACCTGGACAAAATCAGGCAGGCACAGAGAGGAACAGTGCAGTGTTCCATTGTCAACAGATTTCCAGCACTGCCTGTGCAGGGCCGGATTTGTACTCACCACCCAGAAGTCAGCCATGCTACCAATAGACTGGAAGGAGATGCTGCTGTCTGAAGAGGTCTGTAGGAAGAGCTCAGACATCACTTTGGTGTAGTAATACGCATTGGAGCTTGTCATTCCATATGTCACTACGAGAGAGGAGACAAGAGGAGGGTCTTCCCTTGCACTTGAATAGTGGAACCTGATTTACATTCACTGTCTGTGTAGCTTGAACTGTCCTAAGTAAGCTGAATAAGAGAAGAGTTTAATGCTCAGCAAAAGCACTTTGGCTTCTCCCAGCAAGACATAATCTGGAGAGGAGACTGGGGAAAAGAAGTGTTTGTATAGGGGGACCAAGCCATGTGACTCAGAGCTCACATCCCTCTCGAGGCAGCACTGGGGAGAGGAATCTCAGTCTCTTCACTCCTTTCTCCCATTAAATCCACCCGTGACTATTCTGGCCTGTTCTGGTATCTCAGCTTGTTTTGCTTCACCAGGGCAGCAGCTCTCCTGCAGGGCTGGTTTTGCCTTCAAAGCCCCAAAGGTCCTGACTGCTCTCTTTCTACCATGCTTAGTGAGAAACCCATGGTAAAGAACAGGGCAGGCAGTCGTCTTCCTTTTTCCACTTCTCCTGTACTTTTATCCCTAATTCAAAGGGACTATTCACACTGAAGGTCCTACAGATGGATTTAAGTGCTTAAGGGAGTTTAGCCTTATACTCCAGTACTAAACTTTAAAAGTTCAGAATTTAATCCTGGACATGACCCAGAGGAGGATGGTTTCTACCGATGCAGAAACATTGGGAGCTTTTAATCACATTGCTTCCTGTCTACCAAAGGATTTACAACCTTATTTGTTGTGTGCTCCAGGATTTAAACTGTCAGATTGACAGACTGTAAGAGTTTAAAGGCCAGAAAGGACCATTGGAGTGTGTAATTGAAGCTCCAGAGTAACATAGAATTCTTTTCCTCAGACAAAATTTCTCTCAAAGTTTTTCTTTCTCAGAACAGAGTCCATGATCTGTATCTTGAAGGCACTTAGTCCTGATCTGAAGCTATGAAGGGACAGAGTACTCCATTTCCTCAAGTCAAAAGCTCCAGGAAAATTTTCATTTACTAAGGAACCTCAGATAGGAGAGGAGTCATTTAATTCCCCTGAGCATGTTGCTCCAGCTCTCCAGTGCTCCTCCCAGCAGGAAAGCATCCATCACAGTGATCACTGAGAACATGTCCTACTGCTGAAAAGGCACCATGAAAACAAAACAGCTGACATTAACACGCCCCCCCCCCCAAGATGAGTCAAAGCATGAGTGCGTGTGCATGTACGTCCGTGTGCGTGTCTTGGTTCTTTTGGAAGAATGACTGAGGTGCTGTTTCCCTGGGCCAGTGTGATAGTAACTCAGATCAGTGTTGTCTGTGTATCTCTCCTGCCATAGGGCCCATGAAATATAAGCCTTTTCACTGTCCCATGCCACAGGTGTTCATTTGTGATAAAAAGTGAACCTTTCTAAAAAACAAACAGCCATTGTTCTACCCACACAAAGTCCATTAGCATTCACTACAGGGCGACATTAAATCCACCCGGAACAACAATGTGAGCTACCATCTGCATTTTCACCTCAGCCACCCCTCAAGTCTGAGGGGGGAAAATACTTTTGATCCCTGCATCTGTGATCCTAGGAATTTTCTAGAGCTGCTCTCTGAGGCTTGAATGCTTGCCATGAAACTGTGAGAAGACCCTGGGCAGATTCTCTTAGGACTATGGAGTTGGAGTTGATGGGTAGAACTGATGGAGTGGTTCAGAAAATGCTGCTTAAACCTAACCAGTACCAGTTTAGTCTAAAGCTATAGTGAGTTATTTCATTTGTGAGTGCAATAGCTATTCTGTAGGTTAACACCATGCCTGCTTGCTGCAGTGAGTGCATGTAAAATAAATTTAATATCTACAGTAGAGGGAGGAAATGCAGTTATAAAACTTCATATTCCTCTCACATTATGCACAGAAAAGTCACCTGAGCTGTGAGATGTGACAGCTACTTACATAGACAGATATCCACCAAGAACACAATATAGACCAGCAGCTCTCGCAGAGTGGTTTTTACATAAAGTTCTCGGTCTTCAGCTGTGTTTTCAGTCAGCGTAGTACCCCACAGACCTGTTGGGCATAAAGAAGAAATCAGAGAGATTTGACAACCATTCTCAGAGGCCCTGTGAAGAGATGAAGCCCCATTCCCAAAGAGTTCTTAAGTTGTTAGATTTTTGACACTTTCAAAACAAAACCTTTCATCTCAAAACCACTTTTTGTTTCAAAACTTCACTAAAAGCAGCAAAAACATGTGAAATACACGAGAAATAACTCCTAAAAGGAACCATTCCATTGTGAACAAAGATTTAGGGCTGAAAAAACCTGAAATATGTTGGATTTCTTGTTTTGCTAAAAAACTCTCCAGTTTTCTGCTTCAGTTCAGTCAGATCTTTTTTGTCGGTTTCTTAGCTTATACTTTGCAGAAATTCAGTCTTTGTCACATATACTCTTGGAACCACAAAACTGCATCTCACTCATCCACAAGTGAACACTTGACCTCCTGATTGGACTTCAACAGCAGAATTGCACTTGAAGATAGGTTTACAACTACACTTCAGTCCTTTCAGTATATACTGAACTATCTGGCCTCAAATATTTGTCCCTTGCTTACTTAAAAACTCTTGCAGATTTATTGTAGGTCATAAGACTTGATCAAAATACCCTGACTCAATATTTTCAAATTTAGAGCCAAATTATCCTCAGGGTATGTATCAATGGAGGTCCATTGACTTCAATACAGTCATGCCAGTTTACGACAGCTGATGATCTGCTTTCTTCACACAGCAAAAGCAAGTCATTAAAGATCTCCAGGGTTGATCAAAAAGAGAGGAACATTTTCTTTAAACTGAACCTTGCCATTCTGGTGCTGATGAACCACCTGACATCATTAATTATTTGTCTGTTCTTGTTGTAGTAACTTTCTGCTGTGATTGCCAAAAGTCTCTCAAGTTGAAAAGCTCAAGAACTTCCACTTGAAAGCCTAGTGATGGAATCTATGTCAATAATACTGATAGTCTTGCTCCTTTCTGCAGCTCCCAGACAGCTCAGCTCTAATGCCCACTCCCAGTAGCATGCAATAATCATCCTCTTGCAAGCTAGGATCAAAGCTGATCAAAGACCACACAATTTAAGCAGTCTCTGGCAGGGGGAGAGAAATGGCTTTTTGCTTTGGAGCAAGCAAAAGTGCTATAGTGTCCTGTGTACATCCACTCCTATGCTTTTGATCGGTTTTTTTGTATCTCAACAGACCAGAAAGCTTTTTGGACCTTCAGCTAGCATAATGACTCTCAGTATCCAAACTCACTCCTGAACAGACAAACCAGTAGCCTACTCTGACCCTGCTGAGAACAACAACAGAAAAGAGAGCCTGGAGGAGGTCTGGGTTAACTCTTGTGTAGGAGAGAGTCATATGCTGTCTACAGGACTCCTCACAGCAGAGAAAAACAGCAAGGAACAAAGGAGCAGAGACACACTAGTATGAGAGGCAAAGGTAAGGGAAGCTACTCAGAGGAGGATGGCACAAGTTGGCATCATAGATGGACTCATAATGATTTGAACTTGCTTCTCATTTTTGTGTTCTAAGCAGTGAACGATAAGAAAATGGGAGCATACTCCAGTGCAACCAAAGGTACACTAGAGATGGGTCAGAACTCTGTCCTTGCAAAACCATCTCTTCAGGTCACTCTGAATGACTCCCATCATCTCTGGATCTGAGCATGTCACAATCTTCAAACTGGTTTATTTGTTCTTCCATGAGGCAGCCCCTAGTATCCCCCTGCTGGAAACAGAGGCACAGGGTTTCTTTGCTACAGGGAAAGAAGTGCACTCAGGAACATCAGAAACTTCTGGGACACCTGAATACGGTTAAAAACTTAGCTCAGAGACTTGCCGAAAATTGCTCCTGGAGGACCATGAGGCTGGTCCTGTGCCATTGTCTGTCAGATCCTATCTAGCTGTAAAATTATATTGGTTGAGGTTTGATTTCAGCTTTTTGTTAGGGAATATGCAACGGAAATCTACCAGCCCCTAGATGAAGCATGTTCCCAAATGTGTCTCCTTTGTTACTGTCCTGCCTTAGATGGCTAGGGACACAGCTCATCTGGACTAGAAGGACACTCAAGACTGGAAGGTATCCAGACTTCCTCATGGTGTCCTACATGACAGTTTGGCACTTGCAAGGCAGAGCAAAAGAAGAATCTAGCCAACAGAAAAATCTAGGCCCAGGTTTCATTTGTAATTCTCATCCTCCTTCTACACAGGAGGAGAACATCTACACTATCTTCTGAGGCTGCTCTTAAACGAGACTTGTGAGCCAGGCAAGTTACAAGCTCAGTCTCAGGTACAGCTGGACATCCTCTTCCAAAGGCAGTGGGAATCTGGGTGCCCCTTGGAGGTTACAGTGCCACCAAGAGACCTAGGAAAGTCTGCCTGCAAGTTGGCTGTGAGGCAGATAGGAGCCAGCGGACATAGAGTTGCTTGGAGTCAGTTCAGAGAGGTACAGACCTGAGCAGTGGCACTGGGAGCAGCAGCTACTCGCTGGTGGGATAATAGCTTGTGGTTCAGCCCAGTAGCTGGTGAGATTGAAGGAAGACCTCAACAAGCAAACCAAAGGGCCACAGACAAGTAACCCCAAGGAATGGTTGCCAGCAAGAAACACGAACTGTCCCTTTCTGTCCTTAGACAGTGATTTATCCTTCCTGCCTCCATTTTCCAAGTGAGTCACTAATGTGGTTAAATAAGGAGGAAGAAAAAAAACACCTTACACACACCAACTATCCTGAGAGAGACGATGAAAAATAATCAGTGTGTAACAAAGATACAAAGGACACCATTCAAGGAAGGATTCCCCATCCAGTATCTGTGAGGCTGCCAGAAGCCTTTCTTCTCACCTGCACAGCTCTGGTCTATCTTGCAACCTTGCTCTATTTTACCACCCTTACTGGTAGGACACACTGCTGCAACAGCCATGAAAAAAGGGAATGCTGTAGTGTCCCAACAGGTTCTCCTCTGCACTCTCCAATTTCAAACCTGGCATCTTACAAAGGGAATTTTAGTGTTAAAGTTTAGATTCTTTTTCTTTGTTAAGCCTTGCAAAATGCCTAGAGCAACGGACATCAGAATAAAACAGGTAAATGATACACCCCCTCTGAACAATCTGTAGTTACCCTTCAACACTTGCCAGCATTGCTCCTTGTCCAGGAGAGATCTCTAAAGCCTCAGCTTTCACGTGAATCAATGGTGTTGGACTGTAACTGCAATAACAGCTAAGAAAGAACTGATCATAAAGAGATTGTGCAATCCTGGACCAAGCTATGCTGCCATTCACTCACATGTACTATTAGAGGGTATGGCTCAGAGAGGTTCTTGTGAGATCAGGAAGCAGAGCTGCAGATAAAAACTAATCAGAAAGAAAAAGGCACTGGGAAACAAAAAAAACCCTCCAACCTCCCCACCAAAAAACGCAGACATTTCCCTAAGAAAGACAGTTCCTTGTTTTGCCTGCCCTGTTTTTCTAGCATTGGGAGCTTACGCCTCCTATGAGAAACAATTCAACAAGTGCCCTTTTCCGGTACTGTATTCTTATGGGCAACGTACATCAACACTCCCAGCTTTTAGCCAGTTGCTTCTGTAGAAGCCTACATATTGGTTAATTCTCCTTTATCTTTCAAGCAGTAAGCTAACATCTCTTTCCTTCAGTTGCCTTAAAACAAAGCCTTGTTTGGTACATTCCTGTTATCCCTTGTATTTCAGCCCTGACCATCCTAGATTTTCTCCAGTGGGTATTTATATTGATTTGTAAGTTACAGTAACATAGAGAGGGCAGTACCACTCCATTTGGGAAATTCATACAAAGAGGAAATATTCTCATCATCAGTGACAGCTCCGGTGGATACAGGATGTCTGAGTTCTGCCTTAGGCTCAGCCAACAGAGTCACTGCATGACCTTTATCGCACCCCTAAGTTTGTCTGTACCTCCTTCTCTTTAGGAATGGTAACAGGACAGACCCTGGAGCTGCAGCAAAGCACATGGAATAAGGATGCTCCCCCTGGTCATCTGCAAATGACCTCTGAAGTAAGGCAAGTCTGTGCTGAGCAGGTTCCCAGGCTACACAGATACACTGGGATTTCTTCTTTCCGCATTCCTCCCCCACCCCCCACCCCCATATCATTGCTCTTCCAAAGGATTAGTAAAGCCTTTCTAGTTGGAAGTCAGAGCTTTACCTCGGATGCCTCTGAAGATGTAGAAGCAGCACCTGGGGAAAGGACTCGTCTTCCCATCCACAGCTTTGGTCTGCTCCTCGTGGCAGGGCAGCGGATCCCCCACCTCTTCAAAGTTCTCATAGGGATTCTCCAGAATGGACTTGGGATTGTAGATGGCTTGGATCTTTAAGCAGGTAGAGGGAGAGCCATTATAAACAGGGTTATCCCAAGCTTTCTTCCCCATTGCCTCCAGTTCGTGCTCCTCTGAGGCTTGGAAGTGGCTCTCAGCTCTGTTAGTTAGGTGAGAAGAGCTCATGGCTATTCACTGTGGACTGAAGTATTTTTTATACTGAAATCCCTGGGGCTGCCTGCCCAGGCTGGAGTTTTAAGCTAGCAGAGAGAGAATCTGTCAGAGCCAAACAGCTTGTCTGCTTCAGCAACCTGGAAGACAGTGCACCACCAGCTTCCCACAGAGCTCACGTATCCTCTCTCTGTTTTGTACAAGCTCAGCCCATGACATATATCAGAGTGTGGCACTGCCTACTGTTAGAAGCCGCTGTCAGTCCTATTCTTTTAGGAACACAGATACATCCAGGAGATGCTCTCTGCTTCTCAGTTGAGATAACAGACCCAGATGCTGCAGTGAGAAGAGCAGGCTGCCAGGAGACTGACACTGAGTTGGGGCAGAGAGAGGAGAAGAATTTAATTGGGCCGCTTAGGCTGTCTGCAGCCCAGATCAGCTCGAGGTGTATCTCCAGCTGGGCAGGGAGAGCTGAGAGCGCCGTGTGATCCCAGCGAAAATGCCATTCGGGAGAAAGGGGCAGATATTGCGGGGGAGGCTTGGGCTGGGTACAGAGCCCCTCAGGGCTGGATGGGCATTCATTACTCTGGGAATCACGGAAGTTTTGAGTATTCAGTGCAGTGTCAAACAGCAGAAATCCTCTCTGTGAGAGAAACGCTGCACGGGATAATCACCAGATGGCGCTGGTGGCTCGCACCAGTGCAATGATTGTGCCTGGGATCAGAGATGCAGCAATTCTTTGCAAGCTTTGTTCATGCTGCCAGTAAGAAGCTGTTTTTTTTGTCCTAAAACGTGATCCCAGTCCAAGTTTCCCCAGCTCCCTCTCTGATATCTCATTGCTAAAACCAGGAGTGTGAAACAGGAGCAAATTTCTAGTGTTTGTTAAAGAAACCAGGGGCTGGATTCCTCTGCTTTTGCAAATTTTCCTCAAGCTCTGTGGTGCCTTCTTGCCCTGAGGCAAACCTGAGAGAAATTAGGATCATATCAGGCAATACTGTAAATAAAAATACCTAAGGGTGGCCAACATTCATCTATTGGCCAGCAGGAAGCAGTAGAGTAGTAATCCCAGGCCTGGAGGGTGTTATGAGGCCTGTACCACTGCAGGGGAGGATCAGGTTGTGGCATAACCCTGAAATGACAGGCAGTGCATTTTGGATGATACCACAGATATGAGAGCTGAGGAGGAGCAGGGGGAGACTACTGTAGGAGCATGGGCTACTGGAGGGCTCTTAGGTGGGTCTGTAAAGCCTGTAAAGCGACGGCAGTCATGTAGGGGCAAGAAGCCAAAGGACTAACCTTGTTTCACAGAAGTGGGGTTGTCTGTATAGTGGAAGAAGCATCGAAAGCAATGGGCTTCCCCACTGGTGGTAAGAAGGTAAATGAATGTATAGCCTAAGCCTGTCCCTCTTCAAGTCTGAATATATAATCTGCAAGAGGTACTTCTCACATGGCTACTGATGGTAGCTATATTTCCTGACATCATTCAGGGAAACAATGAGTTTTGCACCTGTAGGACCAGAGGGCTCAAAGGTACAAGCCAGGGTATTTAGTCTGGGCTATCATGGTGGCCCATATCTGGGTATACAGGTGGTGTTGCAAGGCCAGCTGAGATGTGCAGCATACTCCCCTTTGCTCACCTACCTGATGATGGCCTTGACCAGCAATTTGAATAACAGTGAGGCAAGACCTAATTTGCCAAAGGGCGGTAAGAGGGCTGCAGCTGGCAATTTCACTGCTAGGTTTCACTGCTAGGTCACTGGAAATCTGGGCTGGATCCTTGACAATTTCACCATTAGGTTGGAAGATTACTGGAGATCTTGCCTGGATCCTTGGGATGATTCTGGTACTATTGGTACCTGTTGTGTTTTACTACCCATTAGCAAAATAAGGGCAACGGGAATGGAGTGAATGGGGTGAAGGGATGGAAACCATTTGCAGAGGTCTCCAGTACGTGGACTGCTGAGGGACAAGGCCTCCATGAAAGGCCAAATGACGTTCACTCACATCCCATGCGGCCACATAACAAGCACGCCACCTACATGAAGGAAATACAGGTTATAGTGCTAAGCTGCTACTTGGAGGAATATGCCCTCTTGTTTTCACGATGCACCCTTCTCACTGCCTGCAGCACAGTACCATTTCACATCTCCTCTTCTGGGTCCAGGTACCTCATAGATCTGCCTTCAAGCTGGCTCAGACACAGAGTAGGTGGGAAGAGCTGGGAGTACCTTGACCTTCTGTTATGAAAGACTGAGTCACCCATCTGGCCCAGAGAACAGGTCATGTCTGTATCACCTGAATTTGAACAACCTATCACAAGGCAGAACAAAAAGCACCCTGTAACTAAGGAAACACACCCAGTGCTGTTCATGCAGGCTAAGGTGACTCATTCATTTATGCAGATCTGTGAAGGTGTCCTTTTCAGCCTGTAAATTTTAACTGTATTGTTAGTGCATGCTTCAGTTTTGGAAGGAGAGTCTAGGTGGGGCTTCAGCTATCTGTCTGGATTGCAAAATGATATAAGCACATCATTGCCATGAGCCAGAATATGCATTTGCATAGCAAGTTGCCTTCTTTTACACTAGTCAGTGCAGGGAGATATGACCCAAACCTTAGGGTAATACGTTTCCATATTGTGTGTTGCCCTCACAGTACTGTTTGATGTAAAACTATCTGGAGCACCAGTATTTGCTGTCTAAGGAACAACATATATCTGACGGCACCTTTCTGTCTTCACCTCACCTTATTCCTTCCCCATCCTTTGCGTCTTATTCATCAAACTTCAGTTCTTGTGAAAACAAGCAAACAGGATTTCTCTTCTCCATTCCTTTTTCTTCTGTGTTGGGGTCCATTTTTCACCAGGCATAGAAGCAGCCTTTTAGAGGTGCCAAGGCAGAACTATTTATAAAACCAGAACCCATCATCACAGCAAGATTCAGCATGTCAGGACAAAACAAGCACTGACCTAGAAGTTTTCCTGTCAATAAACGCCTTAAGATACAACATGGGAGTGCTTTCTGGACTGACTGCTTGCTCACTGCACAGAGAGTAGATGGCCTCTCAGCAGAATTGCTTGCTACCAGCTACAGGCCAACAAAAAATCTTATGGAATCAGCTACTACAGGGCGCTGCATTTACTGCAGAGCAATTCCCCTCCCCCCGCAGTCCCTCTATAGCCAGAGCTGATTAGAGAGAGTCTGAAAATGTTGCTATTTACCTGACATGGTTGGAAGCACTGACAGGCCGTTTGTTTCTGATGGTTGAGACATAAAAGCTAGCCTGACCAATCTGAACTGTCACACCAGCCCAACAGTAACCAAGACTGCAGAAACTACTGACCAAGCCACCTAATTCTGTTGATCAAGGGGTGTGCTGTATTGAGAACTGTTTGAATCCGGACTTGGTACTCCCCTTTTCAATGGCTTGCTTGTGAGAGCCGATTATGATGCACTGAGGGGAGCCTGAAAATTTGTCATGAGGCAGAGATAAGGAACAGGAAAGAACACAGTAATAATGTTCCGCTGTATTAAAAGGCCATCCTGAAGAAGAAAGAAAGAAGATAATATGTTCATTGTGATTGCAGGGATAGAGATTTAATTTAGACAGTCTTATGTGATACTAGGGTTAGGCCTCCAGGTCATACGAACTGGTCAGCAGCTGTATGAGGTAACTTATGAACTATTCATAGCAAGTATTTCAAGTCCAGAGGTAAGCTAGGACAACATGGTATTAGGTCGGCATGCTAACAGTTGGCTTGTGCTTGCTCACGAGACCAGGACATGCTCTCCCAGCTTAACCACAGATACCTTCTTCAAGGGCCTGAATCCACAGACTGATTTCGTTATCTAACACAGTAACCCAAGCATGGAGTTGAGTGAGAAACTAATCAGGCTCATTGGGAAATAAAAGATGTACTCATGCTGGCAAGCGCATACACTTCATCCAGGCAGGAAACAGAACTTCCAGCCTGGAGGAAATTATGATATTTTGAAATGAATTAAAAATTTCATCTGATGAAAATCCTGCGGGAAGAGGAGAAAGGAAGATTACATTAAGATTGTTGTTTGTTGTTGTTTTTTAATCATGGCGAATTGTTTGGATAATATTATTAGCAGTCTGATTTTAAATAAGGCTAACTGAAACAATGTTTAAAATTAAAAAAAATAAAATTCTCTTGAAGTTTATGCATACACACACATCTAGTATGATTATCTGTTGAGGTCCCCACCAATTAAAAAGTATTAGAGCCACCACTGATGAGCAAAACTAAATAGGATAAAATACAAAGATCCTATACAGTAATGCTGCTTTCACAAAAAAGGCATTCTGTAAGAAAGAGGAATTATCTTTTATTATTAGGAAACAACAAACATGCTTCACAGTGCATAAACCTTCCTTCAGGTTTCTGCAAAACTTCTCCCTAAAAAAAGACTTGTATTTCTAAAAGCTTGATTTTTCCCCAGTGATGCCTTCTGGCCTAATAAAATATACTGCCTTTCCCCACATGCCTTACTTTGCTTATTGGATTATCATAGCTATAACAACTCTTCTATTATAACAAAGTTAAATTCTCTAACAGTTACCCTTAGTTTAGCAGCGATTTGGCAGGCACTGAAGCTCTGGCAGCTTTACATCATATAGAAATAGTTCGCAAATAATAATCTGCAATGTTTTCCAGAAACAGAAAAGAATGTGATGATGAGAAAAGAAACATACATGCCAAGGATATGTCTAGATTTAGCATTAAAATTGCTACAGAAATGTGTGGATGCTATGCCTACTTAATGTGCATTATTGTGACCCTGCAACCAATCTCTTAAGCTGAGTCAAAACTAACCTTTTTCACTGGCTTTTCATGGACTCAAGAAGTAATCTTATTTTGGCAATATAGAATTTTTCTTGCATTGGCATCATAAAATTTAATTTACCTACATTTATGCCTAAGGGAATACTTCCTCAAAGACTCTCAGGAAAGCTGACAACACAGTACAAAGAGTGAGCATGAAGGAGCCTTTACGGGTTTGTTTTGGTTTGGGTTGGTTTTTGGGTTTTTTTTTTTTTTTAGCTGTTCCTCTATACTGCTAATATATGGTGCTTACATGGTTTGAACACATCTACCCTACTTATTTACAGGAGATGACAAAT